AAAAATATGTTGTTTGAAAAAAATACAGCGTTTCGGTTACACGGTTCTAAGAGTGACGCTCTACCCTGTCGTACCACACCAGCCTGAAACCACAGGGGAGACCATACAGGCGAGCACAGCCCACGACCAGAGACCACGGCCAGAGCCTCCAGGCCACGACCAGTGACCACGGGCCACCCATCTCAGATCGCGCGGTGCGCCCGCAGGTCCTTGAAACCTCACGTAAGACCCTTACGCGCGCGCTGTTCATGACAGTACAGCACAGCGGTGTGCAATAGAGTATCGTACAATGTGCGATCATGCGAGGCGTTCCACGGAGGGCCTTACCCTCGAAGATCGAAGGAGTTGCCATCTGTTCCGCGGCGGAAGGCGAAGGTCGGCGGAAGGTCGACGGAAATAAAACGAGGCCGCCTCCGCTTGCGGAAGCCGGCGGAAGCTCGGCGGAAGGTGGCGGAAGTGAAAAATGCGCCCCCAAGGGATAAAAACGTCTTTGGGTTCAGGGTTTCCGAAATCCGCCATCCAACTTTGCATGATATGGTGCAACGTATCAGATGACAGCATCGTATATTCTGTTGGAAAGTAATGTGTAGCATGAAGGAGGAGGAGGAGGAGGAGGAGGAGGAGGAGGAGGAGGAGGGAGGGGGGAGGACGAGGACCGACGGACGAGGAGGACGAGGAGGAGGAGGAGGAGGGGGAGGTGGGGGAGGAGGGAGAGGAGGAGGAGGAGGAGGAAGAGGAGGAGGAGGAGGAGGAGGAAGGGGAGGGGGAGGGGGAGGAGGTAGAGGAGGAGGGGGGGAGGAGGAGGAGGATGAGGAGGAGGAGGAGGAGGAGAGCAAACTACCTTCCCATCCCTTACCATGGCTTAGATACCCTTTGCATTCGCACGGTCGGATGTCGTAGCAGAGCATAGCATTACATTACATGGCATAGCATGGTGTTGAAGATTGACGCGTATCCTGACATAGCATGGCGTGGCGACGCCCCAATTGCGCGGTCCAAAAAATCAACGAATCGGCACCGAACGTGTGATCACTTTCGATGTTTCTTCGGGGGGCCATTGTTTTGATGTTGGGGCCTACTTGAAAGGACCGAAAACCATGTCGTGGCATGACGCTGGAAATAATGACGCGAGCGCTGCAGCGGGAGCGCGATTCTGAACGAGCGGAAGCGCGGAAATTCGGGCAGCGTTGCAGCGGGAGCACGATTCGGAGGACGAGTAGCCTGACATAGCATGGCGTGGCGACGCCCCAAAGTGGGGGTGGGGGCTTCTGCGACCCGAAGAATTAACGAATCGGCACCGAATGTGTCATCACGTCCGACGGTTCTTTCGGGGGTGCAGCTTGTTTTTCAGATTTCGGGGCCTATTTAGTTGTTACCATACGTCTCCTGCTGCCGCTTATAAGCATGATTACCATACATTGAACAGTATGTCGACTGATGTACAGCCTGATGTACAGCTGTTTGGGATCAGAGATAAATCGCGCGCGCGACAACACATCTTCTCTTTTCCCCATCCGCATAACGGGCAGTCGAACCTCATACTTACACGGCTGACGCCGTGCATATTGCCACCATGGTATCTCGGGTGTCCTCGAGCCCAAGACGTTCCTTCGAGCCACTGCTAGGAGAGCCACCTCTAATACCAGAACATCCTGATCAGATTGGCCCTGCTGGGTGGGCATAAGTTAGGTTAAGATAGGTTATCCGCCGAAATCGCTGATCCAAGGATGACAGACCATGTTGGTCGTCTTGGGGCTCCAAAGACACCCACCCCGCAAAAAAATATGAACGCGAGAATTGACCTTGACTCATCAAAACCACGCAAGTATGAGTTTCAAGTCGAAGGACCGTTATCCTCGACTTCTCAACGCATCCAAGATAAGGATATGTTTGACGGCATGCCCGTCAACCGCGGCACACGAGACACGCCTGTGCCCGAGGGCGACTCCGACGAAGAGCACGAATGGCACGGCAGCAAGAGCCGCCCCCGGACCCCCCCGCGGACAACGTCGCCCAGGCTATTCCAGTTCGTCGGATGAAGAAGGAGCGGAAAGAATTTAAAACAACGGGAAAGAAACGTTCTCCGCGTCGAGCTCGTCTGAGACGATCGAGACGCCTATGCTCGAAAAGACGCCCGTTAAAGAGACTGCGGACCATGTCCAAAGTCTGGTTGCGGGGCCAATCTGGGAAGACAATGAAGAGCAGCCGGGAGCCCCAGGACCATCGCCCGGGGGGCCCGCGATGGGACCGCTTCTCAGCAAGACCCCCAGAGAAGACCCGGCCGGCATTAAGGCGTCGCCTTACGAGAAGCGTCCTCAGATCGAGCTTGGTGGGCTAGGCATCCATGATGCTCCCAGCCCGATCTCGGGAATCCAGGACAGGGGAAGGCAAATGCTACAGTCACCGAGCTCGATCTCCCAGAGGTCAAGATCGGGAAGAGGTGGCCCCGGTTCCACCCCGAGAAGCTCCCGACCTAGCTCGCTTACTTCGCGATCGTCTACGCCCAGGTATGTCATTAAGGAACCCTGCGCCAACTGGGGGCCGAACTGCGCGGACGGCCCCGAGGGCTGCTGCCCCGGCCGCACCCTCAACAACGGCCCGTGCAGAAAGCCAGCATGCCGGGGGGCGTTCATTCCAACGCTCGCTATGCAACTTAAACTACCTGTGCCCTGACTGCACTCCCCCGAAGTTGCACAATTGCTTCGCCCTCAAGAACCACGAATGGGATCAGCAGCAGGAACGGAAACAGCAGCAAAGAGAGCAAGGGCGCATTTCCGAGATCGTCGCCACGCGGACGACGATGATCGACATGGATGCAGAGACAGACCGAAATGATCGCGCAGCGCAGAGGGCTGAACACGAAATGCAGGAGATCGTTCGGAAAGAAAGAAAGGAGAAAGCACTCCTCCATGAGGCTGCGCTTTTGGCGGACCGGGCGGCTAAAGAACAGACGAGAACTGAACGGGCCGTAGCTGAACAGGCGCGCCGAGCCCTTCGGGGGGCCCAAGACAGAGAAACCCAGCTCGAGAACAGCATTCGCCTGAAGCTACAAGAGGCCACTGCGCCCCATGAGCAAACGGTCTCTAAGGCGGAACAGGTCGCCGTGAAGTCGATCGCTAAGATGCGTCACTTGGAGGAGAAGGCCTTCGATAAACAAGAAGTGGCCGCGTCATCCCTGCGAGCTGCGCAGACGAAGCAGCAACAGTTGGAGACCGAGGCCCGCTTGTCGCAAGCTGGAGCTGCGAAGGTATATGCTGAACTCAACCACGCCTCGGAGACTGCGACGGCAATCGGGGGGGGGGGGGGGCCAGCGGGGAAGCGAAAGCATTGCACCGGGCTAAAGCCCAGGCGCTCGCTGAACACGAGTCGGCCTCTGGCCGAGCGGCTGAGCTGAGGTCCATGCACCCGCGCGCTCAGGAGGCCGTAGAGACGTCTCGGGCTGGCCATGCCATTGCGAGGAACAAGGCTAAGCAATTCGAGCCATTCGGAACACCGAGATACAAGCCCATCTGGAAGTAGAGGCGGCTAAGCATCATTTCCAGAAGGGAGCTGTCGCGACCATGCACGAATGGGAGGCCCAACGCGAGATGAGTTAATGGCAGCAAGCACAGCAGCTCGTGCAAGACGGTCTGCAGGGCATGGCGAGCACGGTTAGAAGGGCAGTGTCGGCGACCGCTACGCGGGTCCGAACTTCGGGAGGAATCGCAAGGCAGCGGGAAGGCTCCCAATCCAGACCGGCGAAGACCGATACGAGCCGATGCTGCATCTGCAATGATCCCGACGCTCCACACAGATGCCATAGGTGTGAAAGGCCGTTCTGTGAGCTACAGTTCGACTGGGTATTGAAGCGTTGCCACCAGTGTGAGCAAGATAGAGCCCGCGACCACGAAGAAGCACTGATGGGGCAGCGTGAGGAAGAGGAGGAAGCCCAGATGATGAAAAGGACGCGAAAGGAGGAAGAGCACGCTCGGTCTAGAGACGAGATCGGGGCCCAGGCGAAAGCCAGGGCCGTCCGTCGCATCCGAGAACTTGAAGAGGCTGCAGAGCTCCGCGCGACGAAGCCAGAAGAGACTGAATGCACGGACTCCAGCTAATGATACGCGAGAAAAGGCTCAGGCGTCGATGAAAGAATCGAAACTCAGCGCGAACAAAGCCGAACAAGATCACCGCGAGCTCCGGGAATTGGCTCCGAGGCGCAGGCGATGAAGGAAGAACAGAAAAGGAAGAAAAGGGAGGAGCCCGCGATGAAATCCTTTCCAGGGTACGCGCCGCCTGCCCAGCCAAGGAAAACAACGGCCACTGCCGGAGACCTTGCAGGGGGCGATGACACGCCGCCCCACCAAGGACACGCCGAAGGTGGGGGCGAAAAGCCGGGCGAAAAGAAGGGCGGCGCAAGCGGCGCACCCGGAGGCGACGATTTTGGCGACGATAGCGACGATGACGGCGAAGACGACAACTACAGGCCGAGCGACGAAGAAGATTCCCGCGAGGAGGAGTCAGACGACGAAGAGGATGACGAGACCGAAGGTGGAGGAGACGAAGAGGCCACCAACGAGAGGACTGAACGCTACGCCGCTGCACGGGGACCCGATCAAGGCAATCCGGGGGGCGGTGGCCCACCACCACGGGGACCGCCCGGAGGGGGGGGCGGGCCGGGAATCCCAGAGCACGAGGGATAATCCCACCCCCTGCCCCATGGGCAACGGCGGACAGGGTCGACAAGGTCACGCGTGATCCCCTGCCCGATGCTGGGAGCTTCCGAACATGGAAGAAATCAGTCGTCAGGGCGGTGGCCTCGCGCTCTAAGCAAAACCACATCTCGGCGTCAAAGTGGGTTGCCGATGCCTTCGAGCCCAAGACGGTGAAGGCCAAGAAGCTGGAAGACCCAGGCCCGCTTTTGGGGAATCTCGACATGCGGATCGCAGCTGACCTCATAGCGAAGCTGACGATAATCCAGAGACCCCAGTTCCTCTCATGCTCTCCGCCACCTGGCCAACGAGGTCGACCGCGCGGACGCGAAGAAGATGAAGAAAGGACAGCTGCTAACGGGCAGGCCAATTATCCGTATAATCCAAATACACGTCACCACGCGCGAGGACCACGGACAGGTGTATACCTACGAGGACCTCATGGCGTTTCAGATTAAGGGGGAAGGAAAGGAGGCTGACAAGGACCCCTATCACTTCGACGACGAATGGGCGCGGGTGACGCAGGAGATGGAGCGGCCTCGCAAATCCTTCAGACCCTCGATCCCAAACCACTTCTACAAGCAGACTAAGAAATGCCCCTGCGTGCGGATGACTCTCGTCATGTACGACCACAGCAATGATGGATACGGCAAGGGCATGAAGTCTCACGAGTGGCTTTTGGGACAGATCGCGAGGCAGATGCTGCAGGGTCGCGGGGGGGGCAACCGCAGGACCCAGAAACAGCAGATCAACAAACGCGGGGTGGAACCCAGCGGTGGCAAGGGCGGCGACGGAAGCAAGGATTCGATCACCATAAAGGACGGCCGGCTCAAGAAGTCCGTTGTCTGTCGACGCTGGCCCAAAGACCAGCGCCCATACATTCGGAATGACCGCCAATGCCTGCATCCCAAAAAGGCGACGCCCGCGCAGATACCGCAACGCGGACAAACTCAGGTAGCCACGCCAGGGCCCACGCATGGAGGACCGACTGGGAGAGGCCAGGGGGGCAAAGCCGACCCCGGGGGCAAAGGCAAAGGAGACTGCGAAGGACAAGGCAAGGGCAAAAGTGATAGTGAAGGCGGAAAGGCTGACCGGTCCAAGAGACAGAGCGGGGGCGGTAGCAGCAACCCGCCGCCGAAGAATAAAAGCAAGGTTTGCCATGCTTTCAGCCGAGGCCCCCAGAATTGCGACGGCTCGCGCGGTCGCGAGCATCGCCCGCTAACGAAGCAGGAGAAGCTAGAGCGCGACGCCTGGGAGCAGAACCTGCAAAAGGCCGGCAAGGATCTGCCTTACAGTCGGAACGCAGAACAGACGGCCGCGGCTGAGAAGAGCGCGAAGGCTTCGAAGCAATCGGCCGCCCTCGCGCCTGACGGTGGGAAAACGCAGGGAGGAAAAACAAGCGGGCAGAAAGGCAAATCCAAGGCGAAATGCCGGTACCACCTGGACGGTCAGACATGCCCTTTTGGCGACAAGTGTCGGCACAAGGCCAACACCCCCCGGCATCCTTGATCCGGGGGGGGCGGCGTGCAGCACCCATGGTGCTGGCGCCGCCCTGGCGGGGGCTGTCATAGGGGAATATTGTGCAGTCCCCGCAAGCGAGGTGCAGCAGGCTGCCCCAGCTGTACCATTCGCCGGGTCACGATCCCGGACGATACAACAGGAGCCAATGGCCAGCCCGGTAAATTCATGGTCATACGAGACACCTAGCCAATGCCACTCGGCTGATGCGCTACAAGGGGCGGACACTTCGAACGCTCTACACCTTTCAGCTGTCGCAAAGACCGACGACGATTCCTTCATCAGGATGCTGAGGTGTATGATAGCGGCGGAACTTCATCGTATCATGTGGGGGCGTTGGACCTGCTCAAGTCGGGGAAGCCCGAGCAGAGCTCACTGCGCCATGATGCAGGGAGCAGTAAAAAGTGGCGGCCAAGGGTTGCTGTCAAGAACAGAAAGGTGAGATTTCACCCGTCTACGCATATCCCCACGCCGTTGACGCTGCGAGAGCTGAGGAAGGAAGAGCCGATGCCGATCGTCACGAAGCACGGTGGCCCATTCAGTTTCCCGAACAAGTGGAGGAATTGGCGCGACAAGAGTATCCGAGTGCATCAGCAGCTCGCCAACAATGACGCGAGCGAGTTGGAGCATGAGGCATGGAGGCTGTGGCTGGATTGGGAACAGGAGCCCGCGTCGGAGGGCGGATCCGGCAGCGATGCTAGCGAAGGCCATGCCGACGCTGCATTCGCTAAACGACACAGCCAAAGAAAGGGAGCACGGGGGAGCAACGGAGCAGTGAGGCTCAGGCCGATGTGCTTCATCATCGACACTGGCTGCGGTTTCAACCTCATCGTTTTCAAATGTATCCCGAATGCAGGCGCCATCGGGAAGATGAAGAAACTGTGGGTTCCGATTTCACTTAACACGTCAGGGGGATCTCCAGCGCTCTAGGAATCGTGAAGGTGGCCTGCGACCGGCTGATGAGTGGAAAGTTCGACGCGATCGTCATGCCTGAAACACCGAGCGTGATATCCGTGGGCGAACTTTGCATGAATAACGGCTATAGCTTCTACTGGAACAAGGGCAGAACGCCGTATCTTCTCCTACCCAACGGCACGAGGCTGGACCTAACGGCGGGTGACAAAATACCGTATCCCAGCGTAGGGGGAGAGAGGCTCTGGGTCAGGTAGACGAGGCAGTTCCCGCCTACCCTTTGGGGTCAGAGCGATGGGCTTGTGTGGAGGCGAACGCGAAGTCTTACTTGGCAGACCCCGAGCAATCGGGCGGCCCCCCACTCCGTGCAGTCAGGTATCATACGACCCTGGACCTTCATTCGCAAGAGGTGATGTCAGAAGATTCATACGCGGATGGTGAATTAGAAGACCATCCCAACTGTCACTACGGAGGCGTGCCTCATAGAGCCGACCTCGACGGTAGGGCCATCGTCACCTATTTCTATTACGAGCCTCAGATGGCGAGCCGGGAAAGTTGGAAGCCTGGCCCAACCGGGATCGCCAATAAGATGCTTCCGCCTTCTGCATACTTCGGCCACGCCGTTGGATGCAGGGGGGCATGCGGCTCCTGCACCTGCAGCAGGGGCAGCAGAAGAACAAGCGGAGGCACTGGGCGCCATCGATTTAGTTGACGATGATGGCGCTGAAGACCCACTGCAGGAGTCGGAAAGAGAGGAGCCCAAGAAGGTTGAGCGCCTTAAAAAGGAGGCTCAGTCCAGAAGACACCTCATGACGCACCTGCCGAAGACTCCATGCTGCCCGACTTGCACGTGGGCGAAGACGCTCAGAGCGCAACAGCGCAATAAGCAAAACAAGTCACTCGATAAGTTGAAGCCTTACTCAGAGCCGAAGGCGTTCGGGGGGCTCTGCACCATGGATCACTGGTTTGCGTTGAATGACCTATCGGAGGGACTTTACGGAGAAACTTCGCGCGTGACGCTGCGCGACCGGTTTACAAGATTCTTTGCTGCCAAGGGCACCTTCGGCAAGTCGGCCGAACAGGTCGCGGACTTCTTGGTGAGCCTGCGGGCACCTCACGAGCAGTTTGCGCACATCTACTCGGATCCGGCAAGAGAACTAAAGAAGGCTTGCCAGCGCCTGAAGATAGCATATGATTCCATTCAACCAGCCAACGAGAAACAGAACTCCGCGGCTGAACGCGCCAGTGGCGTCGTTCAAGACGGGGCCAGGACGTTGCTCATGACAGCCGGCCTCCCGGCTCAGTTTTGGGTACACGCTGTGCCTTACTTCTGTACATGTTACAATGCGACGCAACAGGAGAACGGCGAAACCCTATCGGAGTTGCGGTTCGGAGGGCCGTTGAACGCCCCGCTGATCCCATTTTGGTCAGCTGTCCGACATCTGCCGCCGCCTGGCCCGAGGATAAAGCAACCGAAGCTGGCGCCGCGGACACGAGTCGGCATTTACTTGGGCTACGTCCAGCATGGGGGGGGGCGCGTGGGCCCTGACCACTGCTGCACGCCTCTGGACCAGCTCGAGAGCTTGAATTTCAACGCGGCATGAAGGTTGACGGTTCTAGACCCATCGTCGATAGGTCCGAACAGCTGTGGACCGACACTGACATCGAGCAAGACGTAATATGGTCTCACGATGGGATCGTCGACAACGTTGACAAGGACTCTGCCGCGAATTGCCCGCTCAAGCGCGCCCACGACAGGGCCGCGGCGAACGCGGAGAGCGTCACCTTTGAAGAGTTGCTCTCCAGCGGGAAGGAGCTGGACGCAAAGAAGGCAAAACCGCATGCGAAATCTGGGGGGGCCTCGAGCTCCCACGAGGGCGGAATGATGGAAGAAGACATTCCTATCGCTCATGGCGAAGAGGAAGAAGTCCCTCACACCCATGGTGAAGGGGTAATCAATGTCGTACCCGACGTCGATCCGACGGAAGATGAAGGACCGCCGGGTCCGCCACCTGACCAGAATTACCCCCGGGCGCCAAACGCTGGAGGGTAGACTTCAAAGCGGTGAAGAACGGCGAGAACCATGCAAAAAGGGAAGGCATCATTGCTAGGCAGACCAAAAACCTGGCAGCCCCTGCCAGGGGTGAGCCAAAGATTGAACAGATGCTGGCAAGGGCGACGCAGAACCTCGACACGGGTGAGCACTAGGAAGCGCAAGTCGTGACTGTAGGAAAGACGATGGAAGAATTTACGAAGCCTCTTCCGCTGAAGGGCAAGCAGAAGTCAGCCCACCTTCGAGTGGTTTTCGCTTACGATCCGTTCTACAGGAGACCTAACGAGGTGGCTGTATATGACGAGGTTTTCGGCCATGCCATCCTCAGTCGGACCCAGAAGGAGTCAACCAGACCAGGCGCCCATCCAGACAGACGGTTCAAAACGGGTGGCCGGGAACGCAAGAGACTCATTGAGGAGTGCAAAACAGAAGAAAAGGGTTTCTACGGTCTGGGGGATCCTGGACCTATCACAGGACTGCTGAAGGCCATCGGGATCGACACGCCAAAACCAGCGCCCACATATGTCATGGCCGCTGCAGCTCCGTCGAGGGCGACTGACAGAGATGAAGATTCGTTACAAGAATTTTAGAAGTGGTGCACAGAAGCGTGTACAACCGAAGAAGAGACGGGGTCGCCCCATGGACGTCACACCAGTACCGATGACGACAGCGACTGGGACCGCACAGCATTGGACTGCGCGGCTGCGACTGGGCGTCGCGGCGCCCCTCGCATGCCCTTTCGAAAACTGCGAGTCATGATCGTCACCGGTGAAAGGAGCCGGCCTGCCGACCTTGCTAATATAACCCATTCACGGACATGATGCAGGTCGGAGAACGAGAGGAGGCCTTCACCTTTCCATCCGAACGAAGAGCCAATATGATGAGCCATTATGCATGCGTCGCCCGCCCAGTCACTAAGGCCGGGGCGGCCAATAACGAGAAATCACAAAAGGCGCTGATGGGTGAGCGGGGCCGATTGAGAAAGATAAGGACGTGGGACGAGGCAAAAGTCAAGGAGCTGCGCGACGTGAAAGCAATGATGAAATGGAAAACGTTCCACATCGGACGCCTGTTCGCGATCCCGGTGGAGAAGAACGCCGCACTTCCTGAAGATCACAAGGGTCGCAAATTCAAGGGGAGGATCGTGTTTGACGGATCGGACGTGATCGACCAGGACAAGAACGTTGCGTTATTCCAGGAGCTCTCCAGCCGTCCTGCTACGATGCAGGCCAGCAAAGCTGCCGACGCGCACGGGCTGTTCGGGGACCATGATATACAGGCCGACGCACGGCAGGCGTATACGCAGTCGAAGTCGGGGGGGGGGGGCCCCAACATGGGTGCGGTTACCGAAGGAGGC